GACTTTCTTTGAAAGTCATTCTCCTGTTGAACATCAAACAAGGCTAAGTTTTGGTTCATTGTCTCCCTTCTGAGGATGAGTTACAGGATTTTAAAAGTATTGCCTTGTCTCATAAGCAGGATCTAAGCAATAGAACAGTAGTAGATTAAATATTATGGGGAAATTCTTCCCTGCGAGGGTGGTGAGGCTCTGGCACAGGATTCCTAGAGAAAGTGTGGATGCCCCATCCCTGGGAATGTTCCACACCAGGCTGGAGGGGCAGTGAGCAGCCTGGTCTTGTGGAAGCTGTCCCTGACCACAGCAAGGGATTGGAGTGAGATGATCTTCCGACCCAAACCATTCTGCAATTCTATGAGACTCTGTTTCAGCAAGGCAAAATATCCATGAACAACTGTAGCAATGATTGAAGGTGGCAGCAATGCATTGAAATGTGTATTTTCTTTAGATTTAAGGGAAGATATCTAATTCATGATATTAAGCACTATTTAAAGTGTGAAATCTGTTTCTGTAGGTAGTGCAGCACAAGCAAAGGCAGGTGCCCAACATGACCAGGTAAATTATCTCCATGCCATGCTACATCAGTGAGCTTTTCTCCATAAATGTTCATTCCAGGCTGCTCCCTGTAATGACCTCAATTATACATGTCTTCATTGTGAAATTATGATTGCCTTTGGTGGGCTGCAAATGACAGGAGAGAAAAAGATTTCCATGATAAACCAGCACAACAGGTAATGCCTGCTGCATTAGTATGCAGAGCTTGTGAAGGTGCAGTGTAACTCCAACTTAAATAACACTGGAGAGAAGGGACAGAGGAAAATGTTCAGCAATGTCTTGGCACTTTTTTACAAGGAAAGGAATTACTAAGATTTCACATTCTCACATGTCACTGTGGGACTTGGTATTGCAAGAAGTTTAATGTAAGAGCATCAAGATGGTGACAGCTGGATCACCAGAGGTGCTCAGTACTTCGGGCTGAATATCACACCAGGCAGGAAAGGTGGGAGAGGATGGACAAGAGTGGTCCCTCCCCTGAATAACCCCTTGGCACTAACCCCCAGCGTGCAGGGAGGGATCCCTTACACTTCTGAATAAGGGTCTGGAGATGGCACTGCCCTAATTCCAAACCACAAGGTGTTGAGGCACTGAGCTGCTGCCATCACCAGTGGAGAGTTTGTGGTGTCCTGGTTGCCTTTCACTGACCTTGACTTTGTTCCACATTTGGTGTCTCTCATCTACATGATCAGGGATTAGTCACAGTCCTCTGATACACAGGCACATCCTTACACCAATTCCCTTTTAAAGGGGACCATTACAAAGGCTTTACCCCTGTCTGGAACTATTAAAAATTGAGTGAAGAATGATAGCACCCCATTCTCTGATGATAGTATCTATGCCTGATGGCAGAACAGTTGGCAGGAACTTATTTCCAGCTGGAATGAGCTGAGGAGCTACTTCATCTGAAATCCCAGAGAATGATGTGTGACACAGCTTGGTAACCAGGGTCAGCAAGGACTGAAACTGGTTGAACCTGTGGAATGTAGAAAAATGGTTTGGATGCCTCATCCTGCAGGATTTCTAAATGAACGTAACATTGCTTGATTTTAGTACCAAATTCAATTCCAGCATGTTTTCTTCTGCAAATGAGCACCCTTTGAGTATTGCCTATTCTGTTCAGTTTTATACCCATGGTAAAAATCCTTTTATCTCCTAAAGGTTTTTAAAAATAAAATGAACAGTGTTCAATACTTAATCTAGAAGCTCTACACAAAATCATTATGGTGACTTGAATAATTTTTGCACATAAACCAACAGCAGCAGTGTCTAAACTCTAAAACTTAATACAGTATTGAATCTTTTAAAAGAGTTCTAAAAAGCTCAGCCCTCACATCATCTTAGGGAACCCTGTTTCCTCCCCAATATACCTGCTTGTATAAGGAAATCTTTTTCTATTGAAAACAAAAAAGCAATAACTGAAACGACACAAAATAATTCTGTATTAGTAGAAAGGCTTTTAGATGTTAATTAGAGTCCCTCAAATGTACTGGTAATAAGATGCTGTCAAATATACTCCATAGAAATACTCTAAAAAGGAGTGTGTTTGTATTGTTAAAGTGGTCTGTGCTAATTACATGCTTTAACATAAAAAACTCATCTCTTGGCCTCATATGGTTAATCCAAAAATGGCAGCTGTGCAAGGTGTCTTCTTAATTAAACCTTAATGTATTTTTCATTACTGTGCTTCTAAAAAGCAAAAGCCAAAGCCTCTTTAGCAATTGTTTGTAAGATGGGCAGGAAGCCTTAAATTCCACTGCAAGAGAGCACTGAAAATCCATTGCTGAAGAAGAAGCTTATGGAAGCCCAGCATGTGCCAGGGAACTCAAGGCACCATGAAAAACAGCAGAGGGAATTAAGGAAAACAGCAGTAAGATGAAAAAACAATTCTCTTGTAAATGAATGGCCCTCTATTTCATTCCTCCTCAAGAGGAGATGTCCTCATTAGCCCTACTGCATGCTACAAATTATTGTAATTATCAGTTCTTTATCCTGTCAAGTGCACTCCAAATATTTTATTCATTAAAAGAAGCTCTTCATTATGTAAAAAATAACTACATTATTAGCCCCTATGTGCTGTTCACATGCTTCAGGCAGCTGGGTGAGGGTGGTGGGATGAACTCTCCATCCCTGGAAGTGTTCAAGCCAGATTGGATGGGGCTTGGAGCAGCCTGGTCAAGTGAAAGATGTCCCTGCCCATTGTAGGGGTTGCAAAGATGGTCATTAATGTCCCTTCCAGCCCAAACCATTCAGTGGTTCCCTGGGGCATCTCTGCTCCTATGGCCCACTGCCCCTGACTTGCCACATCCCTGATTTCTTCCTGCAGGTACCCAAAAGGCAGTGTGATTTACTCACATGTTATGTCTTCCCAGCTTAGTAGTTAACCTGCTCGGTGATCTTAAATGTTGTCTTCCCAATATTCCTTCATCTCCCCTTTTGCTTTTTAAGGTTTGATGGTCAGACTGTGTCAGTCTTCTCATGTAATGCCTGTGGGAGCCACCATAACACAAATAGTAGCACCACGTTAGCCAAACATTCTTAATTTTGATCAACCATCTATCAAAACTGTAGTTGCCTTTTATTTGGAGCAGCTTGTACTCTTCCTGAAATAGCACTGGGAATTTTAAGTGGGAGAAGTGCTCACTGCTGGCAGACGCACCAATGCTGTATGGACACTGCAGCCCAAAGTCAGCCTCAGATCCACAGTGGTGAACACTTTGTGGCACGTTAGCTTCTCATTTAGGTGGAGGAAGCAGAAGAGAAGGGGTGCTGAGCTGTTGGAGTATGTTTTCACGTGCAGGTTTTGCACTAATTCTTCACAATCAGTTGCTGTACCAGAGCACTGACTCTGTCCAGGCTGCCCAAGGATGCTGAAATACACTGAATATTTTAGTGACAGATTTAAGAGGTTTGCTACTCAAGAGGTGTTAAAGCAATTTTTCAATTAGATAATATGTGAAAAGGTGGAAAATTGTGCTTGCAAATGTCGATACTGGGTTTTTTTTCATTTTTATTCCATGCAAGTGACATTCAGATCTTGTGTTGGATATGATGACAGAGTTGTGAGGTAAGTGGATGGGATGAAGAGTAACTTTACCAGTTAATGGGAGGGAGTAACCTGACCCCTGTATGTCATTTTACAGTGTCACCACTGCTTGAAGGGGTTTTTTTTCCCACAGCACATGGCCTGGGGTGAGGCAGCATCATTCTTATGTTTTACTGCTGCTGTTGCCAGTGGAGATGAGGAAGGAGCACTCTTGGTGCTGGGACAGGTTGTTTCATTCCCCAACCCAGGTTTTAGAGTTGACTAAAGCAAAGTAACACCAGCTGTGAACATTCCCTGTTCCTCTCAACGGGCCACTACCTTAAAAGACTTCATAGATTCCCTGTAAGATAGTTTACTTACTGCAGAGCTTGGGAATGAGAGGAAGCAAAAGCCATGCTGTGAATTACAAAGCTGTGGTTAGGGGAGCCTGGACAATGTGGCCTGACTGCCCAGGCACTGTCACTGCTGCCAAAATGCTACATAAAGGCAATCTGCACCCAGGCTAGTTCTGGTATCAGGTCTGACCTCTCTGTGTGACCACACATGGCAAAAGGTGCAGCCGCATCTCATGTCAGTGGCCAGAAGGAAACTATGTGACATAGTATGGTTTCAGAGAGATGGTGGTGAGTTTTTCAGTTTTTTCTGCTACCTCAGGAATTTCTTTTGTGTGGCATACTTAAGTCAAAATAACTGGGATTTTAATTTAAATAAAATATTAGAAAGTTTTTATATTTAGGACATCTGTATCTCAGGTGCCGTATGTGGCTGTGTTTGGTAAACAAGTCTTCAAGCTTGGTGACTTCCAGTGTTTAGGCAGTTTGAAACTAGGTTTATCTATATTTCAGTGGCAGCAGTCTAACCTTAATTCTTCCTCAAGGAACAAACATGACTCATCCTTGTACCTTTTAAAAGTACAAGAATGGTACCTTTTGAGGTACCATTTTTGGTAGGAGAGCCTTTGAGAGGCTTTCCTACCAAAGAGAGGTAGTGGAGTGAAAAGTGTTGTAGAGAGGAGTGCTGTAGAGAAACAAGCCCAGATGGTCTCAAGCTGGAGAGCCTTTGTTTGTCCTTCTGTTTCTGACTGCTTTAAACTATTAAGTATAAACTACTAAGTATAAAGTACAGCAGCCAGGCTGGCCAGCTGACCATCGTAGTGCCCTTATTCTACAGCTAAAATGATTCAGAAGAGGGGTGCAGGGAATTTCATTGAGACAGATTCAATTTGTCTCTTACTTGGCTTTATTGTTGATGGAGTTTCATTGGTGTAGCATAAGTACCCCATCTCCTTGCCAAAATCGTCCAAAGCTATTCCCAGAATGAGAACAGAAGTCCAAGAGGGGAGAGCAGGAGCAGCTTCCCTGTGTGGTGTTTGATGTTGTGCCTGTTCCCTTGCCTTTTGCAGAGGTGGTCCAGCTGAGCCTGCCCGAGGAGCAGCGGGTCACCGTGACCACCATCACCGTTGGCCTCAGCGCCGTGCTGACGTGCGGCATCCGCGGGGCGCTGCGGCCACCCATCGTCTGGAAGCGCAACGGCGTCGTGCTCAACTTCCTCGACCTGGAGGACATCAACGTACGTCCTGAGCTCTCCTGTCATTGTCTGATCACAACCCTGAGTATGGCCCCCTTTAGCAGGTGGTGGTTGTAAGGGTGCAGCTTTTGTCTTGTTATGGAAAGCGGAAGCTGGTGCAATATTTAGGATTTATGTGAGTATGTCTCAGGAATAAAAGCAAAGCAGAGTATGCGCAGGGGAGAGCAGGAGTACTTGGAATAAGTTAATTGAAATTATGCTTCTTTCATTGGTGCTTCTTTCATTGGTCTGAACCTGTGCTCCAAAGACCTCAAAACTCAGGGGAAAACAGCTCTACAGACCACTCACTCCTCAGGGGTGTCTTTCCCAGTACAACAAAACAGGTTCATCAAGAAGATGAAACAAAACATTTGTGGTGGCAATGGATCTCTCCTCTCTTTACACCATATAATCCATTTTTATCTCAGATCCTCCTGTTTCTCTTGCCTTTGAGTCAGTTCTCCTCTCTCATTCCTTCGCTGTTGTTTCTGACGAGCGGTTTAAAAATGGGATTATTCAGCAGGGTGTGGCGATGCCCTCACAGGAAGGAAGATGAATCTCTTTTAATTCACAGTGCTGGTCTGATCTCTGAGTCATAGTTGGTAGTAAAGACAATACCTGAATGATGGTATAAACTTACTCATTTATTTAATAACATTTAATTACAGAGAGAGTGAAAAGTAGTGTACAAAAAATATGGTCTGTATTTCATTTCTCTTTTCATTAAAGTATATGGTAAATCAGGTTTTATTTTAATTACACTGCAGCAAGAGTTGATTTATATTTTTATTCAGTTCTTGTTAATTTGATAACCACTCAGTTCAGAGTTGTTGCAGTCAATACTATAGCTCCCTAAATTGTTGTGAATCCAGGATTGCTGAAATGGGAAAAATCTTTGGTTTATTCTTCTGCAGTAAAATGTGAAAATTACAGCACATGGGACAGAAATACACACAGAATCTCAGTGCTTTATTTGTTGACTCTTCCTTAGCAGGAAAATCATGTGCACCATGGATAGGCAATTACTGTGTGCACAAACTTAGTAATTAAAACCATCTAAACATCTTTTTATTTTCATCACAGCAAGTATTATCTTTTTAATTTTTTTTTGTATTTCTTGTCACTGCTTTGAGCTTGACGTGGAAATGCAACAGAGCCTCTGAAGGCTAAAGAGTAGTCTTAGGATTTGTTGGCCAAAAATAATGAAAATTTCATGTATTTAGTTTACATTTAGGAAATTTTGGTTATGATGACATCTTAAAGAATTAAAGTTCCTGTGTGAACTGGACATAAAATGACAGTCCAAGAACCTGAGTAGAAACACATCATTGAAGGACTGATGGTACTTGGCTCTGAGGGTTCATTTGCAACTCCTACTGTTTTAAACAGAATGTTGAATACGGTTTCAGACTGAAATGGCAGTTCCTCACGTAATTTAGCACCGGCCCAAGTGGATTTCTAGTTTGCTTAGAGCAATTTTGTTTCTTATTGGTGATTCTATTTAAGAGGCAGAGTTATGTCCTTGCACATGAGCTGACTGGTTCCTGAATCATTCACCACTCCCATGGAGTATAATACAGCAAAGAAAACATCACTTTTTGATTGGTTTCAACTAGTGTATCACTGAGAAACTATAACAGAAGAGACTCTGAGATTGTTACAAGGAGAAAAAACAAGATTTGTGCCTCAATTTGAATATGCCACATATCAGTTTATGATCTCTATCACCTTGTCACATAACACCTGCTGCTAGTGAACATCAACTTTTCTAGTCTAATGAACACCTCCACAACTTTTTCATCTTTAATTACACTCTGTAAATATTTTATGTTCTGTACATACACTGCTGTCTGTATTCTGGTCTGATTGCTTGAGGAGGCACAATTTGGCCATGTTTTATTTTCCCCCTTCCACGGTGGGTGTTATGTAGGATGCTTGAGCTCAGGCATGTCCACTCTCTGGCTACTGAGGATGGGCCCCTGCATGTCTGAAGCACTTGGTGGCAGCAGGGATGGTCCTTCAGCTGCTGAATGCAGCCTTTTATTTATCATAGAACCGCAGAATGGTTTGGGTTAGAAGGGACTTTAAAAATCATCTCGTCCCAACCCCCTTGCCATGGGCAGAGACACTTTCCTCTAGACCAGGCTCCAAAATCATCATCCATCCTGGCCTTGGACACTTCCAGGAATGGGGTATCTGCAGCTTTTATGGGAAATGTGTCAGTGCTTCACCACCCTCACAGGTAGGATTTTTTCCTAATGTCTAATCTAATCCTACTCTCTTTTAATCCATGCCACATTCTCCTGTCACTACATGCCCTTGTTTAAAAGTCCCTCTCCACTTTTCTTGTAGGTTCCCTTCAGGTACTGGAAGGATACAATTAGGTCACCCTTAATCCTTCTATTTTCCAGGCTGAAGAATCCCAATTCTCTCAGCCTTCCCTTATAGCAGAGGGGCTCCATCCCTCCATTCATCTTGGTCTTTTCCTAAACACCAAACAGCTCAGGTCAGGGGGTGGCAGCAGACAGTTCAAAGCTTCAGCCTGCGTGGGTACACAAACTCACATTAAACAATAATCTATTTAAAGGCCCTGACAGCAGAAAGTAAAGGCAGTGTGCTTCTTAATGTACTTGAAGGTAGTTAATTAAATTACTCCAGTTTTCCTTTAGTACGCCTCAAGCAGAAACTCAATTGCATTTCTGCTTTTCACAATAAGGTTGGCAATTTGGCTAATTGGAAGTGCAACAGGAGATTAATTGTACCTTTTTAACTTCAAGAAAATCCTCCCTGCTCTTGGCACATTGCTAATCACATACAGACCTACAGGATAGTCACACACTTGGAAAAGTCCTGGTATTATATTTCAATTAAACTCTTTCTCTTCTAAATGCTAATTCAAGAAATCAAATGAAATTAGAAGCTCAAGTCTGAAAAAACAGAATCCTGCCAAGCCAGGTGTAAAAGCATCAGAGGAAAGGCTTTGCTGAAGTGTCCCTTGTTGCTTTATTCTCTCCAGATTCATGACAAATGTGATCTGAGAAGGTGACCTGCGTTTCAGGGTAATACTGGGAGGGACTGAGATAGTCAACAAAAACCTAGATAAGCCTAAATTTGCACTGAACTGAAAGATTGAGAATAACTATAAAGCCTCGTTGTTTAACTGCATTAGTTAAATCACTTTTATGTGATATCTTGATTGGCAACAAAATATTTATTATTTTTCATTGCTCTCTTAATCAGAAGCTTTCATAAGCAACTAGTAACAATTTGTCATGTCCTGTCTATGGGAGCTCTGTTAATGAGTTGTCACATAGCTATTGCAAAAGAGCCATCCTAATGGTACATGTAATTAAACAGTTTCTCTTGCAAACATTTAAGATTGCTTTTAGCATAAAAATATTATTTCTCCATAAATTACCCATCCATATTATTTATCCATTAGAAGTCCCTTTGCAGTTCCACTTTAATAAAGTCACATCAACTTTTCTCATGCAGAAAATAACTATAATGTAGCTGAAACTGATAAATTTGTTATAGCTATAAATTGATTTCTGACTACAAAAGTGAAGTGGTTAAAATGTGTAATCATTCAAAATAATATACTTTTGCCTCCTAGGAACAAGTGATATGTTTTCTCAAGTATATGATTATGAAAGCATTCCTCAATTTGAAAATAAAATAAACTCCTCATGGAGTCAAATGCATATAGTATTTATAGGGTATTGTTTCACATGATTTGGCATTATCTCCAGAGAAACATGTGCAAGTTGATATAATTTATAAATATAAGTTGCTCCTTCAGAAGCATGGTGAAAGAGAAGATTACCATAAGAAAACAAATATGGTGAAGAGGTAGATAAGAATTTGGTGAATTACAAGTGTAGTGCAGGTAGCTATAGCCTAAACTCATTAGTGTCTTTAATTACTCATTTCAGTTTTATCTGTACACTTTAACTCACACTGGCATTGGGTCATTAGTTCAAAAATAGAATTTATATATTTATATTTACACAATATAAATTGTGTAAATACAGAGTTCTTCATTTTTGCTGTGTCAGGTAGGACGGCACAGCCTTGCTGTCACCAAACATCCCACCCAGGGACAAGCCCAGAGCTCCAGACCACAGCCCTGACTGCTGGATTTCCCCATCCCCTGGGAAATCACCTCCATGTGCATCCCATGGCCCTTACAGGAGCTGTGCCCACCTGTCTTGAGACACATTTCATGCATGCTCATGAAAATGTCCCCTTTCCAGGTATAATATTTGAAACCCAAAGCAAACAGCCAACCTTTAAGGTGCAAGTCACTGGGATTAGTTTTCTCATTAAAATAGTCTGTACGAAGACAATGTATTCATGTTGATGCTTTTCATGCAGATTCACTGTTAAATAATAAAAAGCTCATGTGTGAATAACCCCATTAATTCCCTTCTAATAGAATTAGGGCCATTAAAATGATCAAACCCTGGGCCATCCTAGATACTGCAGTGGTGCAGTGATGGGAGCAAGTTACACAAAGTTGGATGTTTACAACCAAATTTTTTCTCTTTCAAATCAAAGTTTACAAAATTGCTTATAGTTTCTTAATGTATTTACAGGCTCTAAAGTAGAGGTTAAGTGCAAAATTACTACTGACCGTATATTCTAAATATATAGTCTCACATTTTGTCATAATGAAGATTACAGAAATTATATCCACTTGCATTTTTAGAGGAATGTACCTACTATTCATTTTTCTTGTAATGTTTTCTCTGAGTTTCTCAGGATGTAAAACATACCCATTTTTTGTTATATTATAATTACACAACTATCTAAGAAATTCATGTCCATATTTTCAAGGCAAAAAATTTTTGATTCAGCAGCATGTTGTGTTAAATTTTTTGAGCAGAAAAACAAGAAAAGATAAATTAGTGCCCCATCAGGCTATGTTTGCAACAGTATTCTAGCATTTGCTTAAGGCTGAATTTCTCTCCATGTAAATGACTAAAGTAATGTGTAAAACC